ATTGTAAGAGACTTCATTGGTTCACCACCCTCAATTCTCTTCTCACTCCAGCCCATTTTACATACTAATGCCAAAGTAATTTTCCTCAAGTGAAAATCCAGCCATCTCCAGTAGCTTCTTATTGCCCGGAGAATAAAATAAAAACTACTCTGTTTAGCTTTGAAAACCACATACAACCGGATCCCAATCTACCTTTCTGGCTTCCCTGGCTGTTACTCCCTGTCCTGCATTCCAGAATCCATACAAAATGGCTTTCTTTATGTTCCTCAGATGTGACCCTCCATCTCCTACCTCTGTGTCTTTACTAGCTATTCTCCATACCCAAAATGCATTCCCTCTTTACCTCTATCTTCTAGAGTCCCTCTGTTCCTTTAAAATGAAGCTCAGGTTGGGGCAGCTAGATGGCACAGTGGATAGAGCTCTGGCCTTGGAGTCAGGAGGACCTGAGTTCAAATTTAGACACTTGGCACTTACTAGCTGTGTGACCCAGGGCAAGTCACTTAACCCCAATTGCTTCACCAAAAAACAAAAAAAAAAAGAAAGAAACAACAAACAAACAAACAAACAAAAAACCCAAAATGTAGCTCAGGCACACCTTCTATATGAATCCTTTCCTGGTCCCCCAACTGTTAGTACCATCCCTGCTAAACTATGTTTTATTTCATGTTTGTATACACACATATATATATTAACTTTATATATATATATATATATATATATATATACATATATATATAACATATATATATGTTATATTAATTTGTATATATATATATATATACATATATATATAAATATATATATATATATGTTATATTTATTTGTCATCTCCCCCATTAGAATATAATCTCATTCATATATGTAAGGATTATTTCATTTTTTATACTTGTAGGCCCAGTGCCTGGTCTAGTGCCTGGCATATTATTGTTTTTGTTCAGCTGTGTCCAACTCTTCATGACCCTGTGGGCCATATCACGCCAATACTAAACAGGGAGTTTTCTTTTGATTTGCCATTTCCTTCTCTACTGGATTAAAGCAAATAGAGGTTAAATGACTTGCCCAGAATCACACAGTGTCTGAGATTGGATTTGAACTCAGGTCTTCCTTATTCCAGGTCCAGCACTCTATCTACTGAGCTACCTATCTGCCTTCTGGTGCCTGGCACATAGAAGGCACTGAATAAGTGCTGGTTGCTGATTGTTTGATTTATTCCTCTATATAATAGAGAGTTGTCCCAGTGTAGTAGATAGATGATGAACCTTGAAATCAAGAAGACCTAGTCTTGCCTCCGTTACATATAGGACTCTGTGACACTGGACAAGTCCCTTACCCTTTCAGGGCTCCTGGCAACTCTCCAAGACATTAAGTTTCAGAGCAGATGCTGATTTGCTTTGATAGAGAGACTTTCTCTATGCAAGTTGCCTATACCAGAAGTGTCAAACACAATGCTCCTCTAGTACTATGCTCTGAACCAGATTAAAATGCAGTTGAAAAACATTTACCAAAATAAATAGAAATACAATGCAACATAGGTAATCTTAATATGTGTTAAATATTTGACAAAATAAATAAAAATATAATGGAATATAGATGACATTAATATGTGGATTTCTAAGTTAATATGGAAAGTTAATCATCCCATTTCAATTTGAGTTTGACACCACTGCTCTATACCAATAAAATCACAAGTCTGGGGGAGGAAAATGCTTGTACTTCCTACCTTCATTGAGTTGTTGTGAGGAAAGTATTTCTCATATCTTAAAGTACTATTTAGCAGTAGAATCAGGACTTGACCAAAGAGCCCAATGCTCTTTTCCTGTCAGGGACCCAGGGGAATGGAATTTACACAGGACAAGAAAAATGTTATGGGATGCGGAAAAGGTTCAGTCCTCTGGAGAACCTTTGAAAAGCATAAAGAAGTAGGAACAGATGACGTCCTGTTACCTTGGCCAAAGAGGGTGCATAAGAGATGGAAATAACACAAATTGGGGTAGGAACCAAAAACCACTGGGTGGAAGGCTGATTCTACGTATAGCAGTCTGCCTCTGGTACTCTACTATAGACAAATGTAGGCTAATTAATTTGGTTCAGTGGTGGCAAAATTCCACAAGGGTTTGCCTCCAAATACATAGAGGGACTCATAGAGTTTTCCAAACTTTAATTAGATTGAGTTTTATGAGAGAACAATGACAAAAACTCTTGAAAGTCAATACAACGTTTGAATTATTATATTCAAAATGAAGCAGTTTAAGACGTGGCACTATGGAGAACATTTTGCTATGGAAATGAAGGCTGGGAAGCATTAGTTACAAAAATATTTATTTTATGTTTTATTCCCTAGTTAGGGAATAAAAGAGTCTAGACAAGCTACCCTGGAAAACAGCTTCTGTAAGTTTAATTTAGAGTATGTTGAGTTTTCTACTTTTATTCCTCTCTTTCTCCTCTGTATGCTAGTTGACTGATGGGTTGCATATCATAGGGAATCCCGCTGATTGACAGCTAGAAGGGTCCTTAGAGGTCATACAGTCCAGTCTTCTCACTTTACGGTCAAGTGACTTACCAAGCTCACACAGGTAATATGTAGCAGAAACAGTATTTGAAATCTGGTACTCCGATTCCAAATGCAGTATCATTCATGTCAACAGGGAACCTAGGTGGCACCGTAAGGCACAGAGTGCCGAGCCTGGAGTCAGGAAGATTCATTCATCTTCCTGAGTTCAAATCTGGCCTCAGACACTTATTAGCTGTGTGACCCTGGGCAAGTCACTTAACCTTCAGTTCCACATCTGTAAAATGAGCCGGAAAAAGGAATTGGCAAACGACTCCAGTATCTTTGCTGAGAAAACCTCAAATGGGGCACAAAAAACTGGACATGACTGAAAAAAAAATCAAACCATTCATGTTAACACCAGTCCATTAGCTAATCATTTTGGTAGTGGAAAGAGTACTGGCTCTTCTGCAGTCAGTGCCACTGGCACTTTTACTACCTAAGCAATATAACTGTCCACTACTTAAGTGACTTAAAACTCCCTGGGATATGGTTTCCTCAGTGTAAAAGGAAGAGAGTAGATCAGATGGATTCTAATATACCTTCCAGCCCTAAATCTGTGAACCTATGAATTCAGAGAGGCTCCCTGAGACGCTCTCAATTCATTTATTCTGAATTTTCAGGAGAAAGACATATATAACCATATTCTAGGATGATTTGGAATCTTGATTTGTTTATTATTAAAATCAGGGTGTCTAGAGACATGTATTCTTCAGAACAAATTTCATTGCTGTGGTAGCCCATTGTTCTATATAACTTAGAACTCATTCACTTAACTGTCAATCAGTTGTAAACATTTCCATTTCTTGGATTTTTCTTTTTGATTACTTATTTTGATTGCTTATAGTAAATCACACTAAAGTAATCCTAGTACTAGGTAGATGATAAACAGTTGACCCTTTTGGTCCTCCATTCATTTGTGGAAAGGATCAGCCTGGTGTAAAGATATTTGAGTATGTTTTGCCATTCTTTGGGCTTTCTTTGGCTTTCTTCTCCCCAGTCCAAAACAGAATTCCTAAACAGATTTTGAAAACAGAAGCCTCTATATAGATGGGCATGAATGGAAGGTACTCATTGCCATTCAAGGCATAAATAAAAATAAGGAGGCAACCCAATCACTAAGTGGGTGAAAAAAAAAAAAAGAAAATCACATCATAAATCTCTGAAGTTGTCCCCTATTTACATAAGCAGTAGCAAACAGTGCCTGCACTGCCTAAATAATGAAAATAAAAACTAGGAGAGGCACCCTTCATGTATCTTAATGAAATATTGTATATAATAAGCACGAAATAAAAAGCCTCATTGAACAGATCTAGACTAGTCAAAGAAAATATAAATAAATGCTCATGAATGCATAATGCATAGGTGTTAAACATTTCCTTTGTGTATGATGCTGTGAGCAAAGTTTGCAGGATTAAAAAAAAAAAAAGCATGTAAATCCCCAAAGGCCATTTCTCATCTTGCAATGCATTTGACAGGATCTGATCCCAGGGTGGTGGTGTTCCCAGGGCTTTCAGTGGGTTGGCTTCTCTGGACCACACAACAAGATTAGAAGTGATTCTGCTTAGTGATAAGCAAATGGGTGGATGGAACCATCTTAAGCAAACCCTTAGTTCATGTTCTTTACCCTGGCTCCCTGTAATTATGATATATTCTGTTTATTTTATTAGAAACGTTCAGGCACTGATCCTTTGTGGCTAGTGAGGCCGCAATGAGTGTTAATATCCTATTCCCTTCAAGATAAGGATATTAAGACCCAGAGTTAAAATAATTATCGAATCATCATCAAACAGTTGCAGAACCAGAATGATTAATATCATGGTCAATAGTAGCTTGTATTTGTATAGTGCAGTAGAGTTTATAAAACATTTTCATTTTGAAAACTTGGGGATGTCACAAGGGTAATATTATTATTATTTCCATTCACCTGATGTGGAAACTTTTGAAGAGAAGTGATTTGCCCAAGTTAAGAAGTCAGAATTTGAATCCATATCTTCTGACCTCAAGTCCTTTGCCCCTCACATTTTATGTCTTCAATGTCCAGTCTCAGTTCATTACACTGTAAAAGTCTCAGATCTTGGGGTTCCTACCAGGTTTTTTTTTCAATTAAAAATTGATTAGCCACCTGCTGTATACAAAGTGCTATGCTAAGGATACAAAGTTTTTAAAATGACACAGACCCAGCCTTCAAAGATTTTATATACTTCTGTTTGGGGGAAAAGAGAGGAAATAGGGAGGGAGGAAACAAAATATATACATGTTAAGTAAATTAAAATGTAGGGCATCAAGGGAGCAAAGGAGATAGTGCATACAAACAGCTCTAAGAAAATCTGAAGAGGGTGAAAACATTCTCTTTTATTTTTTTTGGAGACAATCAAAGTTAAGTGACTTGCCCAGGATCACACAGCTGGTGAATGTCTGAGGCCCAATTTGAACTTAGGTCCTTCTGACTTCAGGGCCTGTGCTCTATCCAATGTGCCACCTAGTTGCCCCAGAATATTCTCTTTAAATGATCTCCTGAAATTAGGAGAGAAACTAATTGGTAATTAGGTAATTGTTGATTATCTATTCGGTAATATTCGCCAGCAATATATATGATTAACAAATACTTTTGAGCAACCAGTACACATATAACTAAACATGATGAGTTTATTTAATTGATACCTCAGTTTCTTCCCATTAATTATATCTACTTGAAAAATAATCTTCTTTCCTTCTTGGTATTTCCTGTTTTCAAAATTCTAGGAGTTGCTACCATGTCTGCTCTTACTCATTGGTTAGCCTGTCTATACCATATATTCTTAGCTACCTTAATTTTCCTTTGAAGTAAATTCTCCCTTCTCCTACTCATTTTATTGCTCTACATTTTTTAGGTACTCAAGAGACTCAACCTGAATTCATTATTAGAAGCTGGTTGTCATGCAGACTTTTCCCTCTCTGCAATGCTTACTTAGGCTTAGTTTAGATATCATATTACATTGTAAACAAATACCAAATTCATTGCCTTCTCTTTTAAACAGTTTTCTTTTAGAAATGCAGGTGACCTCTATTCCCATGTGAATTATCTGCCTTGAAAACTATTGACCCCCACATTTTAGTCCCAGACTAGTTTTCTCTGTCATTCAAAATTTTTCTAAGACATCTCTTTTTTTATTAGTTTATTTTGATTTATCAACAATCACTTCCATAAACTTTAAATTTTTCTCCCCCTCCCTTCCTCCTTCCCCAAGACAGCTTGCAATCTGATATAAGCTATACATTCCTATTAAACATATTTTCACATTAGTGATGTTGTAAGGAAGAATTAGAACCAATAGCAGGAACCACCAGAAAGAGAAAACAAAACAAAACAGAAGAAAAAATAGCAAATAGCATGCTTCGATCTGCATTCAAACTCCATAGTTCTTTCTTTGGATGTGGATAGCATTTTCCATTGTGAGACCTTTGGAGAGGTCTTAGAACCTTGCATTGCTGAGAAGGACTAAGTCTATCAATGTTAGTCGTAGCACAACATGGCTGTTATTGTGTACAACATTCTCCCGGTTCTGCTCACTTCCCTCAGCATCAGTCCATACAAGTCTTTCCAGGTTTTTCTGAAGTCTGTCTGCTCATCATTTCTTATAGAACAATAGTATTCCATTACATTCACATACCACAGCTTGTTCAGCCATTCCCCAATTGCTGGGCATCCCCCTCAATTTCCAATTCTTTGCCACCACAGAAAAAGCTGCTATAAATATTTTTGTACATGTGGGTCCTTTTCCCATTTGTTTGATCTCTTTGGGATACAGCCCTAGAAGTGCTATCACTGGGCCAAAGGGCATGCACATTTTTATAGCCCTTTGGGCATGGTTCCAAACTGCTCTCCAAAATGGTTGCATTAGTTCACAACTCCACCAACAATGTATTAGTGTTCCAATTTTCCCACATCTTCTCCAACATTTATCATTTTCCTCTTTTATCATGTTGGCCAATCTGATATGTGTGATGTGGTACCACAGAGTTGTTTTGATTTGCATTTCTCTAATCATTAGTGATTTAGAGTATTTTTTCATATGACTACAGATGGTTTTAATTTCTTCATCTGAGAACTGTAAGGCATCTCTTTTTGCCTCAGTGGGCAAACACTCAGGAAATACAAATAATTTTTTTGAGGCAATTGAGGCCAAGTGACTTGCCCAGGGTCACACAGCCCGTAGGTGTCTGAGGCTAGATTTGAACACAGGTCCTCCTGACTAGAGCTGGTGCTCTATCCTGTGCCATCTAGCTATCTCAAAATACAAATAAGTTTTAATGTTACTTTAAAGGAGCTATGATTTCATCAATGTGGATGATTCTTCCACAGATACAAAAGCAGTTAAGTAGTGCAGTACAGAGTGCTGGACATGGAGTAAAGAAGACCCAGGTTCAAATTCTGCTTTACCAGCTATGTGACCCTTCGAAGGCCTCATCCTCAGTTTCCTTATCTGTAAAATGAGACTAATAATAGCACTTACCTCATGGGATTATTATAAGGATCAAATGAGATAATATGGGTAAAGTACTTTGCAAACCTTAAAGCACTATGATAAGTGCTAGCTATTATTATTCTTGGGCAGCTAAAGTGCACAGTGAATACAGCACTGGGCCTGCAGTCAGGAGGACCTGAGTTCAAATCTGGTCTCAGACACTGACTAGCTGTGTGACCCTGGGCAAGTCACTTAACCCTGTCTGCTTCAGTTTCCCCATCTGTAAAATGAGCTGGAGAAGGAAATGGCAAACCATTCCAGTATCTCTGCCAAGAAAACCCTAAATGGGGTCACCAAGAGTCAGACATGACTGAAATGATTGAGCAACATTATTATTCTTATTCTCATCAGAGCCTTTCTATATCTTCTGATGTTGGGTGATTCTTGTATATGTCTGGCCATTAATTGTTCATAGAGGATCCATTCAACTCAATGAAGGCCTTCCTCTGGAGGCCTTTCATCATACCCCTTAAAGGGCTATAGTTACATGAGTTCTTCCATAAGGCTAAGATACTACAGTAGCTTCCAACTTATTGATCATTGAATAAAGAATACAAATTAAGAATACCAACAGTTAAATTAATGTCTGTAGATGGCCTACAAACGGTATGATTCTGAGATCTCTACTCCCTTTCCATCATCTTACCACTATCATCACAGAAGGAAAGAAATAAGCATTTATTAAGCACCTGCTATATGCTAGGTAGTATGTTAAGTGCGTTACAAAAAATTTTCTCATTTTGATCCTCATAACAACCCTGAAAGTTGGGGTTGTTATTATCTCCATTTTCTGTTCCTCTATATATTGGTTGATATCATTTCTATTACCATAGCTAAATATGTGTGTGTGTGTGTGTGTGTGTGTGTGTGTGTGTGTATCTGGAGGCTAAACTCTTGGTAATAAGCTTTTCTATAATTAGCTAGCCTGGTCCTTGGGCATTCTCTATTGCTGAACTGTTCTCAAACACTTGACAGTGAAAGGACCTGCCAGAATTGATGGTCCATTAGCATAACCTCCAAGAACCCAGGGTCTCCTCTGTGACACAGCCCTTATTGGAGGAGGGCTTTGGTGGAGGAATTTTGACATAAGCTTAAATAAAAATATATGATAATCATTATTGCTCAGTTATGTTGGACTCTTCATGACCCCATTTGGGGTTTGCTTGGCAAAGATATTGGAGTAGTTTGCCATTTCCTTCTCCAGCTCATTTTACAGATGAACAAACTGAGACAAACAGGGTTAAGTGACTTGTCCAGGGTCACACAGCTAGCAGGTGTCTGAGGTCAAATTTGAACTCAGGCCTTCTTGACTCTATCCACTGCACCACCTAGCAGCCTGAAGTGATAATAGTTAATATTTATATAGTGCTTTGAGGTCTATAAAGCACTTTACAAATATTATCTCAAAAAATAAGGATGAAAAGGGCTCATATGTGTTAAAATACTTGCAGCAGTTCTTTTTGTGTTATTAACAAACTGGAAATTGAGGGGATGCTCATCCATTGAGGATTAGCTGAACAAGTTATGGGGGATAGTTTCAGAAAAACCTGGGAAGAATTGTATGAACTGATGCAAAGTGAGAGAATCATGAGAACAATTTATTCAATAACAATATTGTTAAGGAAATCAACTCTGAAAGACTTAGGCACTCTGACCAACGCGATGACCAACCATAATTCCAAAGGACTCATGATGAAATATGCTATCCACCCCCAGACAGAGAAGTGATGTACTCAAGAGTACAGATCAAAGAACAGTTTTCTTTCTTTTTCTTTCTTCTTCCTTCCTTTCTTTCCGGGACATGGCTAATGTGGGACTTTGATCTGCATGACTATATGTATTTGTAATGAGCTCTGTTTTTCTTACTGGGTAGGGAAGGGAAAAGGGAAAAGGAAGGGCAAGATTTGAAATTGAAAATCAAATAAAATTTAATTTTAAAAACCAGCTATTATATCCAATATTACATTATATCCAGTGCTTTATCCATTGTATCACCTAGTTGCTTTATATATAATTAGGAGGGTAAGTGTTTTAGAAAAAAAAAGTAATATAAACCAAATGTTGATTCTTTTTTGGTGTATCTCCACTGTGTTTATTAACAAATATGATGAAGATGATAATATTATAATGAGATTTCCTAACTACTAAATATTCACTTCATATAGACAGCTGGGTGGCACAATAGATAGAGCAGTGGACATGGAATCAGAAACACTTTGTTCAGTGCTCTTTGGCTCTAGCTGTACAATCCTGAGCCTGCCCGTCTCAGTTTCCTCATCTGTAACATAGGGATAATAATAGCATCTACCTTCCAGGGTTGTTATGAATATAATGAGATAAATTTTGTAAAGTACTTTGCAAATCTTGAAGTGCTATGTCAATACAAGTTATTATTATTTTCATTATCTATATCATGCTGATCTCTTTTACACTTTTGCATTGATCACATCAGTCAGTGCAATTTTTTAATCTCTTTTAACATGAACTTCATTTCCCCATCCCACCTCCCCCACCTCCAATTTTCCCAATGGAAAAAGTATTGGACCTAAAGTCAGAAGATCTGGGTTCTTGCTTGCACTGTGTATCCCTGAACAAGTCATTTAACATCTCTAAGAAGGTTTCTTCTTCCTAAAATGGGGATAATATAACTGTATAATTTTGTTGTAAACAAAGTATTTTATAAACCTTGAATTATCATAGCAATGTGAGATACTTTTTTTTAATCTAACGGTTTTTTCCCCTCCTCTCCAATCTTACTGAAGTTTTTGTTAACATGAGTTTTTTAGGTTAAAAAAATTATGTTCTGCTTTCTTTCAGCAGGCTTCATTTTTTTTCAAAGAAAATGAAATATCCATGGAATCTTTGCCTTTCAAGCTAAGTGTTCAAGCAGGGTTTGCAGTTGAAAATGAACTTAACAGGATCTAAAAGAATCCATGGGTACCCAGTCAGAATATATATCAGGTGCTAAAAAGATTTTTCAGATTCGCTGCATGAGTTAGAAAATGAAGTGCTGGTTTTCGGCAGCAATATTGACACTTTCAGGTGTTTGCTTAGAATTCCGTGTTTTTCAAAAGTCAACACACGCTTCTAAGAAATTATTGTGGATACTTTTTTAGGCTTTGGAGCAAATCCAAAAGAGCAGCTGGAATTTCAAATCTCCAGGGGCGATTGTCCAACTCCTACAATTTAGCCCCAAGAAGTCATGATATTCTTTTTAAAAATTTTTAAATAAATGCCCCAGAGAGCGAGAGACTTGAAGCTTGGTTGGAATGGAAAACTGCTCTTCTTTCTCATGGGGCCCTTTCTTTAAACACCTGAGTGGATCCATGTCAGTGTCAAAGAGGTTTTCCAAAAGCAAAATTAGGGCTTCTCCAGTGGATATTTTTGCTTTTCCCCTCAGTATGAGAAACATCACCAGGAGGAGATGAACTCCCTTTTTTAAAAAAATGTAGACAGAAAATGGGATAACACTGTAGGAAGTGGTATGGACATACATAGGGAAGAAAAATTACATACGATTGCAAAAGTATGCTGATGAAAATAAAGATCAAAATATACAAACTCACAGGATCCTTTGAAATAAAGGTTACTGAACTGTGTAAAGAATGTGCACAAAATTCAGAGAGAAATAGCCCTAAAAATAAGTAGGATGATATTCTGGGGAAATAATAACCCTTTACTAACTTACTAATTGCTGTATGTAGAGAGAAGGTGGGGGAAACTATCTTACGCATAGTAGTGATGAGTAAATGCCTCCTTTTCCCCTTGCTTGGGATTGGGCTGGTCTTGAATGCTTTGAGGATGGGATGGAGGTGTGTGTATATGTGTGTGTTTGTGTAGCCACTTAGTGGGACTCTGTGTGTGTGTGTGTGTGTGTGTGTATAGCTACTTAATGTATTTTGCTATGTCTTAGGAAAAATAAGTTTCTCCTTTGGTCATTGCCAAGAATCATTCTCCATGGCATTCATTGTATCATTAAAAGCTTTCGTTAAATGTTACAGTGAAAAAAAGCACTTAGCTCAGTTGTGGTTCTTGAGTTTAAGTTTGGGCTCTACCACTTACTACATGTATTAGATGTATGACCCTGGCCAAGTAACTTCACAGCACATGTAGGTTCTTTTTTGGGCAATAGTCAACCCTCAGGCAGAAGTATCATAAATCTGAGGGATTATGCAGATTTCTGAGGAAGAAAAAGTTCTACTAGTCATATTATGTAGTTTTATCTAAGGGAAGACTTGTTTTGATGGTTCAAGGGATAAGGTATCAGTCTTTTCCATTTTTTTTGTTGTGTTTAAATAAAGCCTGTTCTATATTCAATGTATTGTTAGCATAAGTGCTTGCACAGGAGTTGAGGGCCCTTTTATCCTCTATTGAGACCTAGATATAAGTTTTATTCTGATTTCCCAAGAGAAACCCTAGATGGTGGCATGAGCCACCAGTGTGACAGTGTGAATTGTGTTATTCACTTGTGTCCCGACTCTTTGTGACCCTATGGACCATTCTGTCCTTGGGGTTTTTCTTGGCAAGATTCGGGAATGCTTTGCCATTTCCTTCTCTACTAGATTAAGGCAAACAGAGGTTAAGTTAATTGCCCAGGGTCACACAGCTAGGAAGTATCTGAGGTCAAATTTGAACTCAGGTCTTCTTGATTCCAGGCTCAGCACTCAATCCACTGAGCTACCTAGCTCCCTCCTGTGAATCACTCACAAAAATGGAAAGTGGTCCATATAAACCCAGATGTTAGGTTGTGATTAAGGATTTTATCTGTAAAATGGGTATATTTGCATTATCTTGCATCAGAAACTATCAGATATTTCAAACATGATGTTCTGTAGCTATATAAAATTCAGCATCCAAAACAAACTCATTTATCTCTTTCAAACTTCCTGCTGCAGCATCCCTGCAGTTATCTAAGTTTCCATAAGCTTACAGATTTTAAGCTGTAAGGGATCACTGACTTCACTTACTCCCACCCCTTCATTTTACAGTTGAAGAAATTGAGACTGTTGAGGTTAATAGACTTTAGCCCTTCCACTGGTAAGAAGTGGCACCCAGGATTTGAATCCATGACTTCTAATTCCAGACTAGTACTCATTTGGCTTCATTCAAAGGAGATATTTGAAAAGCATTTAGCACAATGCCTAGCACAGAATAGGCATTTAATAAATGTTTATTTCCTTCTTTCCTTCATCACATTGTCTCCCTCTTTCCTTCCCCCCACACATTTATCCAGTTGTCAAATGGTTTTATTTCTGTCTCCATAAAATCCCTCCTTATCACATGCATCCGTTTCTGTGGCCACAGTTCTATTTCAGGGCCTTATCACCATTGCCTTTTGCCCTGGACTACGGCAATAGCTTCCTATTTGGTGTCCCTGCCTCGAGTCTGTCCCCACTCCAATCCATCCTCCACTCAGCCGCGCAAGAGGTTTTCCTTGAGCATAGGCTCACCCTCCCTAGAAATTCTCCAATAAAGGCTACTTGATTATTTGTAGTTCTTCTGGCCCAGACCTGACTTCAGGATGGTCTAGTGATTTAGGCTCAACATTAGAATGAAATGAGATGTTAGTAGACCACGCAACCCCCTAACAAAAGGAAGTTTACTCAACAATAGCATGGCAAAGATATTCATTAGATGTATTATTGGTCCTCTTACCTCCATGTTGAGCCAAATCAGAATAGTGTGTTAACTCACATGGCAGTGAGAAATCTGTCAAGTCTGAGGAAGACCAGCCACTTCAGACCTGGGCTTTTATGCCTTAGGTGGTTAGGAAGTTTCATTATCAGTTCAAGCTTCAGTCTTCTGGACCACTTAGACTTTGAGGATGGTTTCATTGCCTTTTTAGAGGAAAAATAACCTATGTGGCAGGGCTCTTCCATCTTCTTGGGCCACATATGGTGAATTTCTAGCTGTTTAATGGTACTTACTTCCATGGATCCCAAATAGATGTCGATATTGATGGTGATCCTACAACAATTATAGATGTTGAAGGGATCCTTGCCTAATTGTGACATGGTCTAGATAATCTCCGAGGTCTTTTTTTTTTCTCCAAATATTCTGATCCTGTTGGAGGAAGGGTACAGATTGACTTCTGCCTGGGACAGAAGGGTTCTCAAATTGTGCAATCACTCAAGGAGACTGAGCTCCTTGAGAACAGGAACTTTTTTGGGGAAGGGCACCTTTTTTGTCTCCCCAGAGCTTACCATACTACTTGGAACACAGTAGGTACTTATTGCTTTCTAACTTGACGTGACATCCTGTGGTGAAGTTTCATTTCTCTGATCCTTTAAAGACCTCTAATAAGAATTATTAATAGAAAAAAATCTATCAAGGCTTGGGTATTTTGTTTATCCTGGGCCACAGGGTAGAATACTGCAGAAGACATATATCATATAAATATTGTTGGTGGTATTTTTTTTTAAGAGACAGGAAAAGAAACTTGAGCAAGTCATGTGAGGCAGTTTGGGCAAGACTTCTGATGAAAATCCTCTGGGACAGTTTGCCTCTGCCCTTTATCAACTCAATCAAGACCATCACCATCAAAACTCCTGGGAAAAACCTGCTTCTCTACATAACTGTCAGCACCACTTCATTCTGGGGCTGGTCAGTTTCTATAATGGAAACCTGTCACCCTGGCACAGGACAGAGAAGAGGAGTAAAAATCACTGCCTCATCAGATTGCTTTATGCAGTGGTATAAAAAAAAAGATCCAATCTTTCCATCTTCAACAGTTATTAAATTTCTCTGGCTACATTATTGCATTGCAAAAGGATAAAAGCAGCCTGGCATGTACCCCTCAGTTCAGAGGAGCCATCAGCAGTTCCTTCAAAGCTGAAAAAGAAGAAAAGTGAAGAAGAAAGAAGACCAAAATATCCAGTAAAGTTCAGTCCTTCCTTAGAGCTATAAATCAGTCTTTAGTTCCAGGTCCTGAAATTCTTCTTGGAGCTAGAATACAATCATCTTCAGGTGGGGAAGTAACAGCCAGCCTCCTGCCTTCAGAGGGATTTATCAGCAGGGATGATCTACAACAGCCAGTCCTAGCATTTTATCACCCCCATAGCCAAGAAATCCTTACATCTGACTGACATGACCCTTACTCTACTTCAGTCATTTTTTAAAAATTCAGTAATCTACAGACATGGAAGACACAAATTTAGAACGATAGGATATAAGAGCTCTTGAAAAACTTAAGTGCTTATCTTATAGTACAGATGAGGAAACTGAGGCCTAGAGAGGAGACCTACCCAATTCAAACCCAGGCTCTCTTTGATTCTTAAGCTAGGGCTTTTCCCACTTCAAGACACTGCCCACCCGATCTTTACCTCCCTCAATTAAAAAACAAAAAATGATTAAAAATGCTTTCTCATCCTGCTATTTAAAATAGCAATGAGGTCCAGTCAAGGACCTCTCTAGTCATTTAGAACGAGAGTAAGATTCTTCCTACTCTCCATAAAACTGCCTGGTAACAAAGCTGAGGCAACGCATAGAGCCTCGGTCTTGTGGTGAAGAAAACCTTCGGGCCAATCCTGCCTCAGACAAACCCTAGTTTGTGACCCTAGTTATGTTGCTCAGCCTCTTCAGGCCTCAGTTTCTTCACCTGTGAAGTGCGGAGGGGGTCGGACTCAATGATCTTAAGACCCCTATGCTTTTTCAAAACTGACGTTTTCCTTTGTGTGTAAAGTTACTGGATCTATAATCTCAACCCAAAGTGGGGAAGGGGAAACCATGGGATGTCGACCATCCCGTTGCTAGATCTGGAAGGCACCTTAGAGGTCATTTGGCCCAGTCTCCTCATTTTATAGATGAGGGAAAGGAGGTATATAAGGAGATGAAGTAACTTGTTCAAGGGGGTCACACTGGCAGAATTTGAATCCATGTCTTTTTAATTCCAAAGACAATGCTCCTGGACCTCCCACCCCCACCCCCCATTTAATATAGGGTACTGTTGGACCAGGACCTTTGGAGGAGAATCAGTGTGTATTGAGGATTTGGGGGGAGGGGAGCAGGAGAATGAAGCCCTCCCGCTCACTCTCTCCCCAGACCCCCTCCCCTCCAGGCCTGGTGCCAGGTTTTACCTGCAGGGAAAGGGAACGCCTGTGGCCGCCCAGGCGCTCGCTGCTCTCCGCTCTGTGTGTGTGTGTGTGTGTGTGTGTGTGTGTTTGTGTGTGTATATATGTGTGTGAGAGAGAGCCTGTTAGTGTAGCTGTGCGCGCACTCGCTCCCTCCCTTCCTGCTTGGCTCGCTCGCTCGCTCTCTCGTTCCCTCGCCTGCCAGCCGCCTGGTTCAGACTCGCTCTCGGTCTCAGGGCGGGAGGATCCGGGGAGAGCAGCCCCGGGAGCTCGGCGGCTCCACAGCGGCTGCCGTCTGAGCATTGTGCGGCTGCGGCGGCGGCGGCCACTTCGGTTCCGATTCCCACCTGCTGGCGGCCCAGGGAGGAAGAGGAGGAAGGGGAAGAAGGAGCCGCAGCAGCAGGAGGAAACCCGCTCCTTCCTCCGGCGCACACCTACCTCCCCGCAGGGCTTTGCAATCTTCTGCCCCCCCTCCTTCTCCCTGGCCCCGGGTGGCCTCGTGGAAGGCGTGCAAGCCCCCCGCCCCCTCCCAGCCCTCTCCGGCCCAAGGCTGCCGCTGCTGCAGCCCCTCCTGCCCGCTGACCGTGACTGCCGCCGCCGAGGGAGCGAGGCGGAGAGAGAAGGACCCGGGCAGGCACCGGCGCCTACTGCAATGTGCCGGGGAGCCGCCGCCTCCTGGCCCCAGCCCCTCTGAGCCAGCCTCGGGGGAGTGGAGGAAGAGGACAAGCGGAACGAGGCAGCTGCGAACCGCAGAGACAGAGAGAGGAGAGGAGAGCGCGATCGGGAGAGACAGAGGGAGCAAGAAAGCCGGGAGAGAGCGCGGGCGAAGAGAGGAGGAGGAGCAGCGGCAGGAGCAGGGCGCACCATGCCGGGCTGGAAGAAGAACATCCCCATCTGTTTGCAAGCCGAGGAGCAGGAGAAAGGTGAGCGCGCGCGCCAGGGCGAGGAGGAGGAGGAGGAGGACAAGGAGGAGGGACCTGGAGGGCAGGTTCGGCCCGGGAAGCCAGCCTGCCGCGCCTCCATCTCCGCCTCCGCCTCCTTGCGCCCGGCCCGGCCTGGGACCCGGCCCGAGGCTCGCGATTTCGTTCTTCCATCCGTCTGTCTGTCCGGTGCCTGGAGCCCCTACCCCTCTCTAAGATGGGGGAGGGGAACCGCTGGCACGGGGCGGGGGCGCGCAGCAAGCAACCGAGGGGGACTCTTCCATAATCAACTTTTAATTCGGAGAAAGTTTCCTGTTGCGGTGGGCACAGCCTCCTCTATACCTCCCTATCTAGGGTGCTAGGGGTCTCCGAAGGTGTTGGAGAGCGGGCGGGGACTTTCCTAGTTCTCCAAAGTTGACTTTTCAAACTTCCCCCCTTCTCCTCCTCCTGCTTACTGCTGCCCCCCCCCACACACCTTGTCCCCGCCTCTGGCAGCAGAGTAGTTGCCAAGCCCAAAGTTGTTGGAGATTCCTCTAACTAGAAGGATGAGAGTGGGGGCGGGGCGCGCCGGGCCACTGCAGGTCTCGGGAGGGGGGTGGTTCGAGGGAGGACTGCGCCTTAGCTGGAGGATTTGTGTCTGGGAGAAACTGGGGATGAATTACAGCCCAACTCAGTCCCTTTGAATTAATACTGCAGCATTTTTAAAATTACTATATATTTTTTTTCCCCAATGCATGTACTGTGGCTTTACGGATCTGTTTAGCAGCCAGGCCCTTTAGTTTGCATATTTGCTTTCCATTGATTGGCAGGGAGAAAAGAGTTGAAGTCTTCCTTTTGCACCTTTACAAAGAAAGGAAGGATTTCATTAAGGTCATTTTAGTAGTCTTTAGATTGTCTGGAAGAAAGCCAGGGAGTTCAGCTCTGTAACCTGGATAGATGTGCTTTTTGCGACCGATTTGCCTGTTGAGGGTCTATGGAGCAAAGGGTCGTAGAGTCATAGGGGTCATAGAGTGAAACTAGATTCTAGGGCTCTGGATTCTACATCTAAACAGGTTGCTTACCTGCTGTTATATGTCTAGCAAGGACTTATTCCCTTCCCTTCCCTTTCCCAAATCTGGCTTCTACCAGAGTTCATTTCAGGTTCCATATGAAATGTAGTCCTTTAAGGCTTAATAGTAGTGAATGAATGAGAGGAAGGCAATCTGGTGTGAAGATGAAATAGCTAGCTGTCCTTGTATAGCTTAAAGCTCAGAAATTTGATTACTTTATTAATGGTAGTTTTGCTATAGGCCCTATCAAAAGTTTTAAGCTTCTGTAACAGTGGTTAGTAATGCAGTACTAATGTATAACCCTCAGTTCTTCTCTAGATGACACAGCCAGTCTTTGCTTTACCTGTCAATTAATCAGAGATTTCATTCTTTCCTAATAGTAATCTTTATTTGAGCTTATTAAATGTGTACCTTCATTATTTGGCGTGGTTTCTAGCAGGTGACCTTAAATTTGCCCAATCAAAGAAATCCGGTTTAGGAAATTTTGTCTTTCCTCTTAGGAAATCTCATTTGGAAGATAAGGATTTCAGAAACAATCATTTTTTGGCAGGGGGAAAACTTTGCACGTGAAAGCGTCTGGGATTGACTGCCTCTCTCCCTTCAGCTAAACCTCATGATACACTTGATATTAAATGTATTAGTTGTTTGCTGAAAACTTCAGCAAGACTGCCAATATGTTTTATAGGGATACTGAAATGGCTGCATTTTGGGATGGTCACAAAGTGCATTTGGATGTCTTCCGGAAAGATATGGTTACTTTGAAAGATGATCACCTAATCTGCTCTGTAGAGATAAGACCCAAATTCTTCCAACACACTCAAATCTGAGTCAGAAATTGGGTATGTTTTCTTATCTCCAACAGGAGTATAGGGCTGAACATTTGTTACTAGGTATCTCTTTCACATTAATGTCTTCTCAGCCCTTGTTTATAGAGGTGAATTCCTAAAACAATTAGGAAATGTTTGGTTACTTTATTCATTCTCTATGTGCCCTTTCATTGGAGATTCAACAAATAA